TTTTTTTTTTTTTTTTTTTTTTTTTTTGTCTTCTTGTCTTTTTGAGATAGGGTCGCTATGCAGTTCAGGCTGGCCTTGAACTCACTTTGTAGCCCAGGCTGATCTTGAACTCACAACAATCCTCTTGCCTCAGCCTCCTGAGTGCTGGGATTACAGGCGTGTGCCACCACATCTGGTGAGAAGTTCTTCTTCAACAATACCTAGAAGTCAGAAAGAGGCAACTTTAGGCTTTACGAAGGGTAATCTTTTGTTACAGGTAGCATAATCAAAAGTGAAAGTTCTGATTCATTTTTACAAGGTCCAGGTGGGTTAATACAACACTGATTCTAAAAACATACACTGGCTGGACATGGTGGCGAATTTTTGAGGCCAGCCTGGGGGACAAAGTGAGTTCAAAGTCAGCCTGAAGTACTTAGTGAGACCCTGTCTCCAAAACACAAAACAAAACAGACAACAAGAAGCCCACACGTTGATCTTATAGCAGCTAGGAAGCTAAAATGATGTGTTTAACATATCAGACCTGGTGCTATAAGATACCATGAGGAGGAGGAGGACACTTAGGGACACGTGAGTAGTTTGGTTATAAGAAATCAGCCTGAACTCGGCGGACACCACCCTGGAGAGGCGTGTGTGGCCCGGGGCACACAGGAGGCCGCTGAAGGCCGGTGAAGGCTGAAGAAGTGAGTGTCCCAGCCTGGGTCCTGACCCGTGATGAAAGCCTATGAGGAACGAGGTCCCCTGTTGCGGTCCTCCCTCCGGGCGGAGGGTCTGGAATGTCCCGTCCACCTGGAGCCTTGCCCAGGCTGCGGGGCACGGGCCACCTGCGGGCTCTGGACCCCACCCGCTGCAGGGCCCCCGCGGTGTCCTTGTGACCTCCTGACGCCGGGGATGAGGCTGGCTTCTCCCTTCCTCACGTCTGCAGTGTCTCTGTGGCAGTGCTTGGAGCAGAACAGACCCCGTATCTCCCGGTGCCTGTTCATCTTGCTCCTGGCGGTTTGACCGCGCTGCTGTGGTAAACAGCACCTGGTGGGGCTGTGAGACACGGAAACAAGGAGATGGCACTTCTTCTGTTTCCCTTTGGTTTATGTTTGCAAGCCGTAACAGTTAGTTCACCCTGGGGCATTGCACATGTAGGCACCGTCTCTTACCTAGGCTCTGGTGTTGGAGAAGCCGGTTCTGAGGACAGGTGCGGCGACGCCCCTGAGACCTTGCAGGAAGCGCCCTGGATGGGGTGGAGCGTGGCCGGGGAGTCGGCCCCACTCCCGTGTCCCAGCTCATGATGTGCTTGCTTTCCGGTTTGTTGGTGTTCGATGGGGTTTTCCTCCCTGGAGAAGGCTGGGATCGTCTTTCTGTCCCAAATGATCGGAGGTGTCAGGGTGGCGTGACCTCGAGTGGACTGAGGTATTGTGGGCACGTCCCGACCACCCTGCTCTCAGGGTTCCAGAGACATCAGTATGGGCACAGTGGGCCCTGCTCAGGGCAGGCACCTGGCGTCACCACCTTGCTCACCACTTCTCTGTGTTGGGAACATTCAGGAAACGCTGTGCTATTTGAAATACACATTAGTTGCTGTCAACCCTGGTACCCAGCTCTTTACTACTGGCTTTATTTTTGTCCATCACTTGGACCTCCTTCCTTTACTTTCCTTCTCCTTCCCTTTGTCCCTTCTTGACTTGTTCCGGTTGTGGGAAGATTTTTCTCAACTTTTCTTTTTCTTCCTTTTTTTTCAACTTTTTCTTTGAGACAGGGTGTCACTCTGTTGCTTAGGCTAGTGTCAAATTCCTAGCCTCAACTGTATTTTCTAATTCTTGTATTAATTATCTTTAAAAATTTAAGCTGGACACAGTGGTGCATATCTTTAATCACAGCACAGGGGAAGCTAAGGCAGGAAGTTCACCCCATGAGGTTTTTTTTTGTTGTTGTTTGTTTGTTTTTTGTTTGTTTGTTTTTTTCTCCTGTACCGGGAACCGAACTCACGACCTTGTGCTTGCCAGGCAGGCGCTTTTGCCGCTGAGCTAAATCCCCAGCCCAAGGTTTTTTTTTTTTGAGAGAGGGTCTTGCTATGTAGTTCAGGCCAGTCTTGCAATCACTATGTAGCTCAGACTGGCCTTGAACTCATGGCAATCCTCCTGCCTCAGCCTCCCAAATACTGGGATTACAGGTGTGCACCACCACGCCTAGCCACTCCATGAATTTAAGACCAGCCTGGGCTACATAATGAGACCCTGTCTCAAAAAACAAACCCCAAACTGAAACAAAATTTCTTTCAGGTTTTACATTGTCCTATGGTTTTTGTTAAATATCACACCTGATTTCATGGATGCTACTGTTTCTCTGAGAAATTTGATATATTGAAAAATGCTTTTTTCTTCTCCTTGGATTGTCTGTGTTTTGAAGGTGGAGATGGTCCCCAGGCCCTAGGTCTGCTACGCGTGTGCTGCACCTGTGAGTGACGCCATGGGCGTCTCTGTGTCTGGTTGCTCTGTGGGGTTGATTTGGACTCTGTCTTCCATGGTAGTAGTTTTTCCCCGATGCCGGGTTGTGTGCTCAGGACTGCAGGCAGGGAAGAAGCGAGCAGGAGTGGAGCTGGTGCTCTGAGCTCCCCACCACTGCCCCCAGGGCCTTGGGCCGCAGAAGCCTGGTGCCGGCGTGGGTCTCGGAGCTCTCCGCATGCAGCCTAGCATGGGCTGTCCTGCTGGGTGGGGAGGTGTAATCTGTCCTCCACCCTAAGTTGGTGCTGGTAGAATGCGAGATCATGAGGTTGGGGTTTTTTTTTTTTGGTCTTTTTGAGACATTTGGCCTTGAGCTCACTTTGTAGGCCAGGCTGGTCTCGAACTTGCAGCAATCCTCCTGCCTCAGCCTCCCCAAGTGCTGGGATTACAAGCGTGCACTACCACGCCTGGCCAAGATCGTGAGGTTGAATCCCCAGCCATGGTCAACGCCACGCGTGTCCCCCACCCCACATTCATGCAGTTGGCCTGCAGTCACGATGTTCAATTTGCAAGATGGAGTGACCCACATGTCCCCGTGCCCTGCTCCTCTCCGTGTGGTGTTACGTACAGAGTGTGGGCTCTACCCCTCGTTGGAGCTTGAGCTCTTGGAGGGTTGGAATTGGTCTTGTTCACAGCCGTTGGAACAGGATTTGGCAGACAGTGACGGACTCTCACCGTGCGTCCCTGGGCCTCCCCCCGCTCCCTGGCAGCACCTGGGCTGCAGTGGTGACTTCGGCAGACGTGGCACTGGGCGTGAGCTTTTGCATAAACAGGTGATGTCTCAGACGCCCCTTCGGCACCCCTTTCTCTGGTGCGAACTGCGGTTTGGGGTTCGTCTTTTTATTCTCCATTTTTCTTAGTGGGACTAAAATCCCTGCTGGCTTCAGATGTGGTTCAAATTTGAGGATCCTGTGAAACTCGAAAATGTTGTTTTAATGCGAGGATTTAATCATTAAGGGTAAATTTGTTATTTTTCAAGCCTTTTACTTTTTTTTCGTGTGTGTGGAGTTGGCAGCATTAATAGTAATGTGACTGGCTGTTTGGGTGACTGGAGTCGCTCCCGTCAGGGTCGTCTTCGTGCTGCTGTCCTTGGGGATTAAGGATGGTGAGAGAGTGAGTGCTGGGCTTTAGCAAGGCGATTCAGCTGTCCTTCTAGAAAATACTATGTGTATGTGCGAGCATTAAGGCAAACAGCCACGGCGAAGCCTCTGTAGCGGGCTGGGGTGCCCTCAGCGGCAGAGCGCTCGGTTCATGTGCACAAAGCCCTGGGTTCGGTCCCCAGCACCGCAGAACAAAACAAGACGGGACGAGAGAGTCCTCAGGTGACTGATCTGTGCAGTTAACCAGTGACACGCGGCTCCGGAAACACTGCTGTGTTGCTCCCGAGTGACGATATTGCTTATTTTCTGGGTCAGTTTAAGTGAACTGGAACAATGCACGCTCTTTTGAAAACGGGGATTCCAAGATTCCTGTTTTCCAGATGACACTTTGGAGTCTAGAGTCTTCTCCCCACTTGTGACACTTCCTGACAAAGGCTTGTGGCGGGAGAATCCCCAGCCCTGGGAGGAGCTGGCCCTCAGCCTGTGGTTTTCATTTTTCTTTTTTTGAGGCGGAGTCTCCCTATATAGTCCAGGCTGGCTGTGAACTCACTATGTATCCTGGGCTGGCCTTAAACTCCTGGTGATCCTCCTGCCTCAGCCTCCCAAGTGCTGGGATTGTAGGAGTGCGCCACCACTCCTGGCCTCAGTGTGTTTTGCAGGTCTGAGGATCAGGGAGTCTGTTAATGTCTGAAAT